TTTGTGATTTACTGCTACAATTAATAATTGTCCCAGTAAATGCCCAAACCCTACAGAACTGGTGCCTTCAGAGAGCACACTACATTACACCAGCATGAGAGGAGGAGGAGGAGGAGGGGAGGAGGGTCTGAATTTCAGAAGCACGGGGCAGGGATCTGTCCTGGAACTGGAGCGCGCCGCCTTCCCCGCGACATTCTATCCTCCAGCACCTACTCCCTGGCACGTCTCCCAGCTCTTCTGCTATCCTGCCGTGAACTCCCTACCCCCCCTCAGCTTCCTGGAGCCGCTCCAGGGTCTTTCCAAAGGTTCTTCCTAAAAAGCGCCCGCTGCTTCCCCTGTCGGAGCGGGGCACGCTTTCTGATCACAGGGCTGCCGCCGAGACACGGCCCTCCTGGCCCGGTCTCACAGCCCGCGTTCAGCTCGATTTGTTCACTGCACATGTTCGACACTGACCTCTCCTTCCGGATCTGAGCTCTCTCGTTCGGCATCTGCTCGCGCAATGGGAGGATCTGGAGCTGTTCTATCGAACGAGGCCCCTGGCCGACAATACTGCCATTAAAAACCTGCGCTGCTACCAAAACAGCACCTGCCTGCTGTCCAGCACTGCAGAACCGTTACCACCAGAAACGCACACCAGTGTTACCAACGAGAGGTGGCCCTTCGGCCCTCTCAGCTCATTCGGTGGTTAATCAGTGGACCGACCCGAGGATCTTATCCAGTTGCTTCCTGATAGAAGCCAGGGCTTCAACAAGGCTTCAGGTCAGCTTGTTCCAGACTCCTACCCACTCTTTGTGTAAATAAGTGCTGTTCTGATGTTTAAATGCCCTTCCGCATGATTTCCACATGTGCTCTCTGCTTCCCCCACCCCCATCCATTGGAAAGAAAAAGCAGCCCCAGCGATATGCAAACACAGAAACCACTGGAGAGACCAGACAGGGTTCGCTACACATCCCACCAAAGTCTCCTGGTTGGGAATCCCAGGTTTAGGAAAAAAATCCCACCAAAAAAAAAAAAAGAGATGCCCACGTTCAAGTATATCAAAGAGCACAAACAACAAAAGTTTGGCATTCGACCCCAAGACGGAAGGGGCACCTGCGATGGCAGGAAGACTGCGCAGCTGTACGAGTTGTTTCAGGACTCGTCAGCAACCTTCAAACCTGCCAAAGATCCA